GGGAGATTCCAAATGTTGTAAGATGGCGTTCTTCCACGATCATCTTCAGGTAGAGGATGAATCGGCTTTCCGACTATCTCGCATGACACCCTTCTACGGACATGGGTCGGTAGTGAGGTCGATGCAGCTAATGATCCAATCATGGTCCAAGTTAAGCTACCCAGGTGTGAAAAAGTCACGCTATCAGGATACGAAACGGCACTTTTGGCGGTCCTTTGGAGGATTCATGTCTAGCCTCTGCGCATCCAAGTTTGAACTGCAGGCTATCTGGATTTTGTCTTGAACAAGTGTAGTCTGCCCTCAGCCAGGTTTAGACTGCCTGCCGAATTGTTTACCGGGGTGTCGATTGGAGTGAGACCACTCAGAACCACTATCGAAAGCTCTCTCCGGTGTATGGAGACCCACAATTGGAGAGATACTTTCAATCAGGTTTTGAGGCAATAAAAAATCGGGCTTGTTCAATCTTCTTGAGATGGTCTGTGCTTTTTGGATGAACGAGAATGGCTGTTCGGTCAACGCAGGTTGCGTTAAAAGCCCAGCTAGATGAGCAGATAATCGCGGATGAAATCAGCACAGGCAAGCTGTTTAATGAGTGCTTTGATTATTGATGAACCTGTGAGGACATACAACACTGATCACAGCTCAACGAGCAGTTTCTCATGAGTTCAGGTGGTTATCTTTCAGTGAAAATCTGATTATCGGCTTTTTCGGTGAAACCTAATCAGGTTCACATCTGTGTACCTTGCGTAATTCTTTTAGTGTATATTTTTCCTTGAGAATTTTCCGAATGTAGTTGCTTTTCATATATTTATCACTGGCTTACGAACAAATATGGTACCAAGCTGAACTTGTAACACTTCCGCGCAGGTGAGATGAAGCATTGAAAGAGATTGATCTACTGTTTGAGCGAAACGGGGTCGCACTCCGTCTAATCTACGTTTATTTTAAATAACGCAGTTTGTCTGTTGGCCGATACTATGCTAAATCGGTGAACGCCAATTTGTGATCCTATATTCACGAACTGAAAAAAGTGGAGCTTCGCTGAACGTTCGAACGGTGTTGATGAGAGTTTCTTTTAATCTTTGCTGATCATCTACAGTGTCTCTAATAGCATTTGATTTTGTTGAACCTCAGTTTCAATACTGATGAGCGCTCTTATCATTTGTTTGTTGTATGTGGGCTGGACGTCAAAAAATTTACAGCTGATCAATTCTTCCGGTGCTTTCCTGTCTACCTCACTTTCTTCGATGTAGTTACAGATAACTTCCGCAGTTTCAACAGGTGGGACGTTCATGTATATTTATTTATCACCGGCTTGCGGACAGGCATGAAGCCAACAATATTAACAATAACGGGATGGATGGATTGGGATACAGAACGGATTGTAAAGAGACCCAAGGGTTTGAAATTTGACGAGTTTGTGGTATAACTGTCAGAAATCACTGTTGAGTTCGCTTCTTTGTTGAGTATCAGATACGAGTGTCAAGCGGGCTACAGAGAACTATGGTATGCTTGTTGGTAGAGTTAATCGTGAGTGCGAACGGTCCAGAATTCGCCCGTTGACCGATTTTCAAGCCAATTGCTTCGTTTTCTTCAGAACCAGAAGATGTAGACGTTCTTACCAGTTTACCACCCAGGTTGATCAGAATCCGGATATGAATCTGAAGTCCTTTCTGATCTACTGCGTACTCTGTCTGAAGTGCAACAAATCATCTGTCGAACAGAAGACTTCCGCAGCTGGTGTCCATTCAAGAGTCAGCCATCAGTAACCACTTTCAAATCTCTGAAGCACCCTACATATAAGCAATACCACACCTAACCTATCGGGGCCTTATGTGGTTCGCCATTCCCAGGGCTTAGGTTACCGGTTTCCGCCACTGAACGGCAGGTCCTCGTGACTATGGGTTTCGCCCCGTCTGAAGCACATGAAAACTCACTGAGAGACCAGAAATAAACTTATTCATCGTCTGAAGGTGAACTGAAATCGACTGGGAAATCAACTGCTATCTGACCGATTGCCCCTAGGGGTTTCGGTTGGATCGAAACGTTCGGGTTTGATAATCCCTGGAATACGGTATTACATCAAGGCTGGAAATTGAATGGATATCCATCAGTGAAGCAGAAATTAATTCAAGGAAGACCTCAATTATTGCACAAAATTTAACACCTTTCACCGAAGACAAATTCCAAGCCATTGCTCAAATCAAACTGTCCCACTCAACTATCGGATGCCGAGCTAGACCGATTAAAACAACCTGGTGTAANTCATCATGAGCAGCCCCGATTCTGGTTGTGATCGAACGGCTAGGTTTGCATTTATGCCGATCTTTCAACGGGTAATAACGCCCAACTTCCGATACCAGAAATCATCTCCGCTCAGCTGAATGGTGTCACCTATTTTGCCAAAGTTGACGTAGCTAATGTATACCATCAACTGCGCCTTGTTGATAATTCAAAGTAATTACTGACGATAAACGCTCACTGCGGTTTGTCCCAGTATAGTGTTATTGTGATGGAAGGTGGTACAAAGAGAGCCCCGGTTAGCGAACGAATCACGAATAGGGCCCATCCAACCAGATGCGCAGACGTAGCGGCTGGAAGTACTTCGCGATACAATGTCGACTACCACTTGAAACGAACGAATCGACAATTACAGCCCGACGAACAATCTGCATCTAGCCAGAAAGATATCTACCGAATACCACAACGTCGAAGCTGTCGATCAACGTATCTCGCGCTACGATGGGGTCAAACCAGTCAGAACGGCACGCGGAAGAATAGGCAACGTACGGGCCAAGTGCGGACCAAAACCAACAGGGATTGACCAACGGAATGAGGTATAAATCACCCTGCCGCGCGGTTAAGAATTAATTGTATATGATTGAACGCATACGCCGGTTGTTTTTTGATTGAATCAATAAACGTTTTGCCAGCCAACTCGCCTTCTCGTTACATTATATCTCCCATGGTTAAATCTTCATGAGCAGCTTTGCACCTGCTGTTCACGATGTTGACGAGTATCACGGGCATTGCAGTATACTTGGATGACATCGTCGTGATACGCCAAACAAAAACACTTTTCAGCAGGATAAGTGCCATGCCAGAACACGGGATGGCAAGTGTGACTTGTTCGCACCTGTCAAATATCTGCTTTTATGATGAATTCGTCGTATAAATGAGGCGTGA